TAATAATATAATATAGAAATATATTAAATAAAGAGCTATTAATATATATTATTTAATATTCTTTAAGTAAATAAACTAAGTATATTAAATTTATTATTAATAAAAAGTCTTAATATTATTATATAATATAAATTATATATTAATAATAAATTAAAAAAATCTTAAAAGTAATTAAAGTTTATTAATAATTTAAAGGCTAAGTATTTATTTAAGGTATAATAAATATAATATATATATATAAATATCTTATAATTATTAAGAGGGTATTATAATATAAAAATAATTCTTATTATATAAGATTTATCCTTAAAATATAAAATTATTTTTAATTAGCTAATATTAAAGGGTATTTTATAAGGAAGTTTTTAAATATATAATAGAGATTATATTAAATTATAATATTATTAAAATTATAATTAAAATATTTTAATTTCTTTTTTAAGTAAAATAAACTTTAATAAAAATAAAAATAATATAAAAAGATTATTATTAAAAAAAAAAAAATCTTTTATTTCTTATATAAAAATTAAAAAAATTAAAAAAATTATTAAAGGTTAATATATATAATAAGCATATATACTAAATAAATATATATACTAAAAATCCCTTAATTATTATTAATGCTATTTAATTAATTAATTATTAACTAAAAATTATGCCTTAACTTTATTCTAAATATTAAATCCTTCTTACGCTTTAAGCGCTCTAAAATAACCTAAATTTAAGTCTCCGAGGCGCTATTAGGCTATACTAAGTTAATTATTAGGCCTTATATCGCCGGCATAATAGTATTTAATCTCAATGCGATTAGATTCCTAAATTATATAAATTATCTAATCTAGAGGAATAAATTATTATTTAGTTTATTCTTAACTTAGATTTACGAGGATTTCCCCTATAATTATATAATATTAAAGAAATAGCTAATTAATTACTTATTAACCGCGATATACTATTTATCGGTAAGCGCTAGGCTTTTAATTTTATTAAGTAATACTTAGATCTTAAGATATATTTTTTTCGGAAATATAACTACTAGAGAGCTAAGTGCGAAGATCTAGCTATTATTTATAACTAATTTATAATTATAGCGAATATAATCGCAAAGTATAATATCTAATTAGAAGATATCTATAACTTTAATAAGACTAGCTTTATAATAGGTATAATTTAAAGCAGAATAATTATTATAGGCATAGATAGGTATAAAAAGTTAAAATTAATATAGCTTAGAAACCGGGAATAGATTATAATTATTTAAGCGATTAATATAAAAGGCTAGGTAATCCTACTATTTATTATTGGCATAGGCTAATATTACCTCGCTAACTAATACTAAGAAAATAATCTCCTAGGCAATTAGACTATTATAATAACTTAAAATAGCTAGACTAATAATAAGATTAATATAAAGTAGCTTAAATACTTTAACTAGTATATAATTAATTAATTAATTAGTTCTTATTATCTCTTAATCCTTAATAGCTATAAAAGTTATTATTTTATTAATTTTAAGAGATATTACTAGGATAATAATATTATTATACTCTATATACTGCCTTATTTATCTTATCTACTTTAGCCCCTTAATATTAGGTATTTTAGTATACTTAAGAATACTTATAATCAAGAAATTAAGTATTTAATTAAATACTTTATAACTTATATTTTAAAGACTAAGTTCTTTTTAGCCTTCTATGCCATATTTTAGGCTATTATAATAGAAAGAAATATTAGATTAGCCTTTAAAGGAGCTAGGCTTATTCCTCTTAATGCAGAAAGTATAGTCTTAAAGCTTAATATATAGCTATAGACTTTAATATTACCTAAGGAGGTAATTAAACCTTTAACCCCTTAGGTCTTAAAGACCCTAAAGACTATACTTAAGGCTTAATCTTAGTTAGATTACCTCGAGAGATAAGTTATAATATATAAAAATAGCTCCCTAGAGTTAATTCTAGAAGCTATATAGTCTTCTTTTAAGGGAATAAAGATAGTTATATATAAGGTTGCCTTATTAAAGGTAAGGGTTAAAGACCTTAAATAGGTAAATAAGATATTAAGCCGGCGCCGGAGGGTAAAAAGGATTAGATTATAGAAAAGAGGGGTTATAATAGTAGAGGAAAGAAGGTAAGTAATTAATTAAATGGATATTAATATGTAGGTAGTGGCTAAATCGTCGAGAAGTAGTAGTTAAGGAAGGTCAGCGCGACTAGGGGTTCAGCATTATAGTATCTACGGTAAGCCTAATTATAATATAAGGACCTATTAGGTAATTATTAAGATATCTAGGGAAGAGTATAATAAGTAGTTTTAATTAATTAAATAGTTTATAATATTTTTATTGCGGCTTTTATCTTATAGGTATAAGAAAAGTAGTATATATACTTATTTGGTATATATGCTTATTATATATGTTAGACTTATTATACTAATATTATTAAATATAACTTTATTATTATTATTATAATAATTATAGGATTCCTAAGAGATAAACTAGTTATACTAGGTTTATATTAATAGAGGAGAATATTATATTATCTTAAATAAGGTATAAGTTATATCTAGTAATATACTTAAAGGTATTAAGTATAACTAAGTTATATTAATAACTAAGGTAGCTACTATATAGGAAAACATAATAAGTATATTTTATATACTTCGGGTATTAATTATAATTACTTTGCCTATCGATCTTAATTAGGGTAATTATATAAGTAATTAGGGTAATTAATAAGGTAATTACTTATTTAATTAGTAAGGAATTATAGGGTCTCGCTTATATATGTAATAGGTGCATATTAGGCTATAATAATTATATAAATTTAAAAAAACTATTATATTAATATTAAATTATAATATTATAATATCTTAATAATTTACTTTTTATTATAATTATAACCTAACCCTTAATAAATTAATTAAGCCTAAAGATTATACTTCTAGAGTATTAATAGTCTAAGCTAAGGCAAAGTATCCTTGTTAACAAACTGCCCACAGATATTAACCGCGTTACTACTGCGGCCTAAAGGCTTTGGAAGCTCCTATATTAGAGTTAGGAGGTGCTATGAAAATAAATACCCGAACGGAAAGGGTTGGCGCCGCATTGGAGGGATGCAACAAGTGCCAACCCCAGATTTCAGGCTTTGACTCCGATTGGCAGGCTCATGTCGGTCCCCGGAACCCCCCGGATTTTGGGGTCTGGATCCGCGGGGAAATAGACCTACTGTACACGCGCTGGGAAACCGGACAATCTGGAGACCCCAGACTTCGGCATTTCACCCATCGTGAGATTCTCCGGGACGTCTTAACTGGAGAGATGTAACAATGACCGTCGAGTGGCGCCCTGGAAGCAGAAATTATGTATTTGGTATAGGCCCCGTTCAAAAAGACACATAAAGCCGAAGGTAGGATCATCCCAGCATGTGCAGCAAAATACAGCCTTGATCACAACCATACGAGGCGCAATATGTCCAAGTCCACGAACAAACAAGATTCCATCGACCATGTCCCTCCTGTTGAGGCGCCACAGATTATTGCACTCGTCGGTTCCCATGCCCCAGAGGAGTTGCAGGCAGCAGCAGCAGATGCTCTAGCTGACACCCGTGTTCGCCTTGACTGCCGCATCATCTTTCCAACCGTGGTAAATACTTCCTTTCAGGAAATCAGAAAGCCGCTCACTGATTACTACAGGCTTTAACCCTCACCTATATGGCCCAGGCCATGATTTCAATTACCTACGGGACAGTCTTGACCTATATTAATCAGGACGTGGGCAAGTTGACTGAGCCTACCCGTTTTATTATAGATGGTGCTAACACTGCGCTACTAGGTCCTACCAGCACCTACACTTGGATGTCTTCGGCGTGGAGCATGGCCTGCGCAGTCATCCTCCCTATTTCCGGTATGTCAGCCTGGGAGCGGTAGACAGCAAGCAAGATCATCACAACCTAATGGATTTGGCACAGGTCCCCTTGGTGATATTCTCGGACGGCGCTATTTTTTCATTGCTGGAAACCTCATTGCAGTTGTTGCTGCCATTGTGGCATCGACTGCACAGTCAGTGGAGGTTGTCATCGTCGGCACAACGCTCTCTGGCATCGCAGCAGCATTCCAGCAGCTCGCAATCGCTGCTGTCTCGGAGATCTATCCAAACAAGTACAGAGGCCTGGTACAAGGTACGAAATACCGAATGATACGGGGAAGCGGCCCTGCGATGGCTAATCGAGTCAATAGCTTTGCTTGAAAATGCCCCAATGGCATTCGCTATAGCTGGCTCGTTGATATCTCACAAGCTGGTCGAAACAAGGAGCTGGAGATATATCTTCTACATCTACCTCGTTATCTGCGGGCTTGCCTTGATAACTACCGTTCTCTTCTACCATCCTGTAGGGTCCCGCTTTGACTCTTTCACTCCTGTTTCTTGCTAACTGCTGCAGCCTCTGCCGCATAACGATCAAACTCGCCTCCGACTTGCGAAGAAGATCGATTGGGTCGGTGCCGGAATTTGGACTGTGAGTTCAACAGAAAGTGTACCCTTTCTAAATCTAACAGACTGGTAGGCCGACCTTACCACCTTCCTTCTCGGCATCACGTGGGCCGGCGGCCAATTTCCCTGGAAATCAGCCGCTGTCATTGTCCCAATGATCCTGGGGAGTTTGACTATCATAGGGCTTGGTTTCTGGGGTAAGAACTTCCCTTCTTTTCTCTCTGAATGCTTGCTAATGTTGCTGTAGAGGTATTTGGTACTAAAAACCCGATCTTTCCACCTCGCATCTTTAAGAATATTCGCGGGTATGTTGTCAACACCACCTTTCCTCCCAATCGCACCCTGACTCCTGACATAGGTTTACAAACCTGCTTATCACGGTCATAATCTTATCCATGCCCATGTATGCTATGGTCACTATCTGGCCAGCAGCGATTGGGGCGATTTTTACCTCAGACCCAACCCAGATTGGCATTTATGGTCTTCCATGGGGCTTCGGGTCGACTTTTGGTTCGATCGCCGTTGGTATTTCCATACGTTACATTCGCAAAATAAATTGGTTTCTGGGCGGCCTAGTTGCTCTTCAGGCGATCTTCATCGGCTTACTAGCAACTATTACGCCCGGCTCGATCAAGGGACCTTTGGCATTTAGCTTCTTTGGTGGAGCCGCGAATCTCGGAGCCCAACTGACATCGATTGTCATGATACAGTTCTCGACCAGAGATACCAATATCGGCCTTGCTACGGGACTTCTTGCTTGCGCTCGATCTGTGGGGGGTGCTATTGCCAGTAAGGTCTACCTCAAGCCCATTAAACCATGCCAGGGAAATATCTAATATCTATGTATAGTTGCCATCTATAACACCATCGTCCAATCTAGGATAAGTATTGAGCTACCAAGAAGGGTTACAGCGGCGGTTCTGCCACTGGGCCTTCCAGAGAGCTCACTTCCCTTGCTTCTAGAAGCGCTTACGTCTGGCAATGAGACTGCGATCCCTGGCGCGAATGACGAGATTATGGCTGCTGCCGGCGAAGCAGTAAGATATGCCTATGCCGCAAGCTTCAAGTTCGTCTTCTCACTCAAGGCCATTGCCGTTGAAACACTAACATCTGCTCTAGAATAGTGTTCTACCTCGTTGCAGGGTTGGGTGGTCTTGCTACGATTCTTGCTGTGTCCACCCGAGATACTAGCCCATTCATGACAAACCACGTAGCGGTCGATTTGAATGAGGAGAGGCGCGTCCGCAGAGCAAGAGACGAGGAGACCATCGGGAAGACGGAGCATGTCGAGGAGAAGCAGCCTTAGGCAAGACACAAGACAGGTTCAAGATATCGCAGCAGTACCCTATCCTCAACACGCATATAGTAGTCAAGATACTGGAGGGATGCTTTGCCTACCTCTCTGCCTTTCACTTTTTCCGATGGAGAAGCAATCGGTCGGCGGGGAGGAATAATTGTTGATTATAGTTGCTTAGTAATGCATAAAACCTAACGAAGTCTATCGTATGAAATACACACCTGTTGTGTTAAATCTCTGTACTCGAGAAGCCGTTACCATTGTCTATAATACTTTTGGAATATTTAACGCAGTGGCGCATATGTTCAGAGTGTAGAGAAAGAAGACAATGCATAGTTTCTATCACACGGTATCAAAGAAGAGGCGGCTGAGATGGCTATGCCACTACTTCTCCAAGAGAGGGCTTGGTTGTAGCTGAGGAACCTCCGCCGATCTCCAATTAAAAGTTGAATTCCAACAGCTATCTCAAGAGATGCAGCATCCAGCCCCCATGGGGATGTTGGAGAGAGCAATCAAGCCTCGGTGGTCGGGTTCTTCACTTGAGTCTGTCGAGCAGTTGAGAGGGTTATGGGGCTCTATTACGCCAACTGGGATCAATGGCGACTAACGTATCTACAATGACTTTATATAAGAACAACTCGCCTTCATATGGTGTGACAAGGATTGGCCCCATAACCAGCTCGATTGCCCAAGAGATGGCTTGAAAGAAAAAGAACTCGTTGCTTGGTAAAGCCAGTGTCGGACTGGACTCAACCATCAATACGTAGTATCGACGCTTGGAGCGAAAATCAGACATCACGAAAGTCTTGAGCCTCAGATCGCACCATTATTCCTCAAGTCTGCAATCGCTGAGGAGGAATAGCCCAGTTCCCGCAGAATTAGGTTTGTGTGTTGTCCAAGAGATGGTGGGCCTCCTCTGATGGATGGCTTTGTCTCGCTAAACTTGACTGGTATACCTGAAGAAGGAGGACCTGTCAGGAAAAAGGAAAGAAACAATGGCTGACGAAGGATGGGAAAGGGCCTATAGACTCACCAAGAACCTTGATAGTCCCTGCTACCGCCGCGCCTTGCTCAACCGTCTCCACCATATGTCTCGCCAAAGCCTGTGGGTGGGAAAAGACGTTCTCCAGAGTGTTGATCGGCCCATACGGCATGCCGCTCCCTTCAAGCACGGTTTCCCATTCCCCTGTTGTCTTTTTCATGAAGAGAGTGTCGAGGGCCTGCTTCAGCTCTTTGCGGTTCAGGACCCTGGCACTGTTATCGACGTAACGAGGATCCGTCGCCAGATCTCGGTCCCCCAATAGCTGGCACAGGTTCTGGAACTGCCTGTCGTTTACCGCACCGATCACCAGGGAGCCGTCCTTTGTGCGGAATGCCTCGTACGGGACGATGGCGGGATGTGCTGTGCCCCATCTTCGCGCCTCCTTCTCGAGGTTGACCCACGACATGCCCACATTCGCCAGTATCGACACCGTCGCCTCAAAGAGTGACGTATCGAGCTTCTGCCCGACTCCCGTCTTCTGGCGTGCAAGCAGCGCAGAGACGATTGCCCCGTGTAGGTAAAGGCCTGTGCACATGTCCACCAGTCCAACGCCGGGCTTGGTAGGCGGTCCGTCTGCTTCGCCGGTGACATGGAGCAGACCGCCTTCGGCGGCGCCGACGACGTCGTATCCGGCACGCGTGGCGTATGGGCCATCAGCCCCATATCCTGCAGAAGAGTTCAGGCCACGTCTTGACTTCAGCAACATCAATAGACGCACCAGAAATACTGGCGAGTATAATTGACGGGTTGGCCGCTTTCAAAGCCTGATATCCGAGCCCGAGCCTGTCCAACTTTCCAGGGATGAAGTTTTCCACGCTTGAGGAGTGGCCCGGTGTCAGTGTCGCTTTGAGAGGACTTGTCCGCCATGGAACTTACACCACATCAGCCTCATGCGCTAGCTGTAGGATGATCTCTCTGCCCTTTTCATTCTTCAGATTGACAGAGATGGAGCGTTTGTTCCGATTGACTGTGTTGAAGTAGATGGATGTGCCTGGCGCTCTCGACTTCCAGATCTTATCCTCTCCTACTTCCCGCCAAAGCCGAGTGTCGTCCTACCAAAACACTGTCAGCAACTAGGGGAGTGTGGCAAGGGGGTAGCTAAGCCTACTCCTCCACGTGGATGCTCAACTTTGACAACATCCGCTCCGTAGTCTGCGAGAATTTGAGTACAGAAGGGTCCCTGCTGATGTTAGTAATGAGTTCGTCCCCCAAGAAAGTCTCTTTATTAATTATACCGCTAGGACGCGGGTCAAGTCCAAGATCTTGACTCCTGAAAGGGGACCACTGTTTGGGCATGGCGAAGTTGTCGAGAAGCTCTCGTGCCTGCTGAAATGACTGCGAGACCTCGTGACCAGTGGCAATGCAAGTTGCAGAGATCGCCCCAGGAGAGTGCGGACCAGATTAGACATGGCGAAGATTCAGGAGTGACTCGTGATAGTAATGGCGTCTTCAAGTTGAGGAGGTGAGTAGAGACTAATAAAAGTCGAGCCAAGAAGCGCACGCGAGCGTCTTGTACGGTGTCGGCTCTCCTTGTGGCAGACGGGCGGGCAAAAGGTCCCCACACAATCTATTCCGCGTGTAGAAGGGAGGGTCTCCGTTTCTTCACCGGCCTAAGTGCGGACTACGCTACGCACGTTGAGCGGCTTTTGGTCGGGGAATCTCTAGGATTCTCCGAAGGAATCTCGGTGCCCATCGGCTATTCAGCCCGAGTGGAGAGTGGCGTGTCGGCCTCTTGGCACGGAGTGGAGGTCACACCTGAATGTCCGATTGGTCTGACTCCGTCTCATGCTGCCTGCACCAAAAGAGATGCTACAATGGGGGGCGGCTAGCTACCTCTTCCAGCCCAAACTAAAGTAATAATATATTTCCGTTTGGCTGTTTTTTTCAGCGCTGCATAGACTCGAATTTTCCTCAAGATAAAGGCACCTGGAAGCAGTGACTGCGTTGAATACAACTACGGCCCTCTCTTCCCCGAAGTGAGGCAATCAAAAGGCTTGTCTGCCCAGAGAGCGCCCCAGTTTCAGCATTGAGCGAGCGCTAACATCAACAGGATGCAAAGAAACTTCGCCTCCGCAGCTCGTCGGCTTGGCCCTCTCATGCCAATGACGACATGTAATACACGACTTTCACGGTGGTCTCCAGTTCCTGGTGCAAGGTCCATCCACGCACGCGCTACCGAGTTCCTTCCCAGCAGTCTCCCCGAATGGACCGACTCCCAGCGTGCGGTCCGCGAAGCCATCGCCAAAATTTGCGCCAAGTACCCTGACGAATACTGGTTAAAGCGCGATAACAACCATGAGTTTCCCTGGGAACTTTCCAAGGACCTAGCCAAGGATGGGTGGCTAGGGATTTGTTTGCCTGAGCGATATGGAGGCTCTGAGTTGGGTATCTCAGAGGCGGCGGTGATGCTCCAAACCATCTCTGAGTCTGGCGCAGGCCAAGGCGGCGCCTCTTCTATTCATATGAATATCTTTGGCTTAGAGCCTATTGTTAAGTTCGGTTCTGAGGACCAGAAAGACCGCTGGCTCGCGCCTCTTATCCAGGGCAAGGAGCGCGCATGCTTTGGGGTCACAGAACCGAATAGCGGCCTAGATACTCTACGCCTACAATCCTTTGCGCGGCGAAAGGGCGACTATTATGAGCTTAGTGGCTCTAAGGTTTTTATATCTACCGCTCAAGTTTCGGAAAAGATCTTAATCCTCGTGAGGACAACGCCTCTCGAAGATGTCAGGAAGAATGAGCCTAATCAAGGTCTCTCACTCTTCTATACTAACCTCGACCGGTCCGCCGTGGAGGTTAAAGAGATTCAGAAGATGGGGCGCGCCGCAGTTGATACTAATGCCTTATTCTTTGATGGTTGGAAAGTCCCCGCGAAGGATCTCGTCGGGCAAGAAGGCGAAGGCTTTAGGATGATTATGCACGGGATGAATGCTGAGAGGATCCTTATCGGCGCAGAGGCTCTAGGTCTCGGCTACGCAGCCTTGCGCCGTGCCTGTAACTATGCTAACGAAAGGGTTGTGTTTGGTCGCCCGATAGGCTCAAACCAGGGGATTCAACACCCACTCGCCGAGTGCTGGATGAATCTCGAAAGTGCCCGGCTCGTGGTTTATTTAGCGGCGAGATTATACGATCAGGGTTACCAGGACGGGGAATATGCAAACACAGGGAAATACTTAGCGGCCGAGGCCGCGTTTAAGACTGCTGAGAGAGCCATCTTAACACACGGCGGAATGGGCTATGCTAAGGAGTATCACGTGGAGCGGTATCTCAGGGAATCAATGATCTCACGAATCGCTCCTGTTAGCGGTGAGCTCATTAAAAATTACATTGGGCAACGGGTGCTGGGCTTGCCAAAGAGTTACTAGATAAGTCTACTTCTTTCAACGGCATACTGCATAGCCTACCTGTATGCATTCACTTCTGTGCCGCCATTCCATTGTGTTGAAAAGAAAAGGCTAGAGATGACTGTTCCCCTATGTCTTGGTGTACGGAGAATTTGAGGGGGTGGTATGAGACTTCGGACTTACTCCAGACTTCATGCCGGCGCGCGCGGCAACGTGACGCAAGATTGGGCGGTAACAAGGTGCCGCGGCCGGAGGGGGTCAGATAATCCCGAACGGATCTGGTCGGGTATTCTCGTCGCACGGGTGAATTCAGCTTGTTTGAAGCGAATGGTTAAGAGGATACCTCTGTTCTTGGTTTCTCAGCCACCTCATGAGCCGTGTGCCTTTCAGGAAATATATGAGATTGTCGAACGCGAGACGTTTCCCTAAACCAACCCAAGCATCAGCCACGCAATGACGACCTTCCAAGTCCCCCCTCCATCATCACTGACGCGGTTCTGGATCAATGGGGAATGGGCCAAGCCAAGCACCAATGAAGTGTTCACCATCCGGAACCCCAAGGACGACACGATCATATCCGAGAACGTCCCAGTTGGCGGCCCGGATGACGTAGATCTTGCGGTACGACACGCAGAGGCGGCCTTCAACGGCAAATGGAGGACCTTTACATCGGCGCAAAGAATGCAGTGCTTGAATAAGCTGGCAGACATCATGGAGCAACATCTCGAAGGCCTTCTCCGGCTAGATAGTCTTTCTAGTGGGAACCCAGTGTCTCTCATACCAACAAGAGAAAAAGGATACATAGTCAACGGATTGCGATATATGGGTAAGCATCTATCAAAGACTGAGTGTTGAGCTCCCCTCCCGGCGCCGAATTCTAACATCCGTGTCTCACATAGCTGGGTGGTGTGACAAGTTCAAGGGTGAATACATGCCGGAAGATGATGGATTCGTCAAGTTCGTGAGAAACGAACCTCTCGGGTAAGAAAAAGAGTCCCCTTGCCAATTGTGGTGGTCTAGCTCCCTGAACATGAATCTAGCGTCTGCGCCGCCATTTGTCCTTTCAATGCTCCAATCACTACCCTCTTCCACAAGGTAGCTCCTGCTCTCGTCACTGGCAATGTCGTTATTATAAAGCCATCTGAGAAGACCCCTCTGGGCACGCTCGCTCTTGGTCCTCTCTTTCAGATAGCTGACATCCCCAAGGGAGTTGTCCAGATTATCACCGGGCCGGGTAAGACTGGTGATCTTCTTGCTCGACATTTGCGAATTCGAAAGATCAGCTTTACCGGTAGCGTCGCTACCGGGAGGAAGATTCAAGTGGCCGCAGCGCAGAGTAACCTTAAGAGAGTGACGCTAGAGCTAGGTCAGTTAGGAAATAATCTCGTTCTTTCTCCTCTTGTTCCTTTTTGGTATTCTAATATTTATGAAAAGGTGGAAAAAGTCCGGCGGTAATCTTTGATGACGCTAACTTAGAAAACGCCGTGGACTGGACTGTCAAAGCCATCGTCGCTCGAACCGGACAGGTCTGCATGGCGGCCTCTCGTGTCTATATCCAGCGATCCATAGCCAAAGACTTCCTCGCTAGATATACGGAACGGATGCGGGAGGCCGTCGAGCACGTAGGTGATCCCGAAGACCCTAATGTTGCTTATGGCCCTCTGGTGGATAAGGCGTCGTTTGAGAGGGTCAAAGGCATAATCGAGCGGGCCAAAGGCGAGGCTGAGCTCGTGGTCGGCGGGAACACCATCGGCGATAGCGGATGCTATATCGAGCCAACCGTGTTTATGAACCCGAGATCGAACGCCGAAATTTTAACGGTCGAGGTGTTTGGTCCGGTATCTGTGGTAAACGTATTTGAAACCGAAGAGGAGGTTATTGAGAAAGCCAATAGTTCAGAGTTTGGGTTGATGGCAGGCGTATTTACCAGGGATATTACGCGTGCACTGCGCATGTCCTCCAGGTTCGAATCAGGCGTGGTTGGGATCAACTGCGTTAGCTACGTGGGTGGCTTACCCCTATGCCTTTACACAGCTCGTGCTAACTGGAGCAGATCAACGTCCAGGTGCCCTTTGGAGGCGTGAAGGCATCCGGCATCGGACGGGAGTTTGGATCAGAGGTAAGTCTGAGAATGCGACCCGTACCGTTTGCAACTCAATGCTAAATGCATCCATCAGGCTCTACGAGCATACACGGAACCCAAGACTGTTCTGATTAAGTAAGTGTTTGCCGTCTTGCAATTAGGAGAGCCTTTCTGATTATGACAGCATGAACTCAACCTAGGGTAAGCGTTTTGTCGTCAGGAACGGGAATGGTGAGGACTATACTATACGGCGGCGAATGCCCCCAGGACGCGGTTCAATAGCTCCGTTCAATTATCTTCACTTTCCCCTACTTCAAGCTATAGTGATCACATTTGTGTAGAAGACAGCAAGAATTTCGAGTGGTATTAGAATGCTTGGCCTCAACCGCCAACATGCCACAAAAGATACTGGCCAGATGGTAAGTTTGCCTTTCGTGTGTAGAATAGAATGCTGTTACTACATGCAATCCGTGCCGCAAGGGGTTCAGTAGTTTTTTTACGGAAAGAGGTAGTTAAATATGCTACCAGTAAGCTTAGCAAAAGTGAATCAACAGCATTTCATCGTAACGCGAATCTATCGTTGTTTTCTCATATCACTCTCGTACCTCCAAAGCATACATCAGACCAACGCAAAGATTTTCCCAATGGTCACTGCGTAGCAGACGCACCATGCTCGTTGCCACATCGACCATGTCCTGGCGGAAAAAGATTTACAGGGCACGACCGACCAAATACGTTCGGTGCCGTTATCACCCACTCGTGCACAGAGCCAATCGGATTATTGAGGGGCATGGCGCCTTTCCGTTCTCACTCGGAGATCAACAACCTCGGTGGCATAATTACACCCTGACCTTTGCTTCTCTTCTCGATGCTGCTGGCCAGGCCAATAGAAACAACGACGACGAGGACCAGCAGCACCACCATACCACAACCTGTCCTTGGGAGGGTAAAAGTGTGGACAAAGGTTTCTGCTTCAATACCACACCTCCCGCTTAGTTGACCCTAGAAGAGAGAATGGCAGAATCCCAGACGACGGTGCCATCGGGTCTTAGGCCTGCGAAGCGACACATAGTCACCCATGACATTTTCACCGGCAAGAGCGTATACGTGGTTGATGTGCCAGGCCATTTATACCACAAATTTTCCGGGTTTGGGAATGTCGCGCGGTCATACGCGACGTCTTCGCTTCCCGTTCAGCTAAGCGATGAGGAGGACATTCGATCGTTCACGAGCACCGATACAGTCACAAGCTACACACGGGGCAGAGATTTCGGAATTCCGGCACCTACCGGGGAAGCCACGGGACGAACGGCCGGGGTCAACGTGAACATCCTCGATCTCGTCCCAGGTGCGGTTGGGCACTGGCACCGCACGTTGTCATTCGATATTTCGATATGCGTGATTGGCGAAGCAGATCATGAGCTGGACAGTGGAGAGAAGGTCCGCTTACTTGCTGGGTAAGTTGTGGGACACGACCGGCCTTGATGTCCTGTATTGTCCCACTAGTTTTCACTCTCCTCTTGGATATCAGCCTCTTGTCAGGCAGCCTTTCTTCCTCTTCTAATACCTGGGAAAATAGGGATCATATCATCCAGCGGGCCACCATGCACCGGTGGTCCAACCCTTCCAATGACCAGCCTGCAAGGATAATTGCAACTGTATTGCCCTGCGAGCCGTTCAAGGTGATCGGCCAAACAGTCCAAGAGGCCCATATCCCATTCGGACAAGAACTACCTGGACGCCATTGACCGACTGTTAGGCGGAAACAGCATTGAAGATTAGTTGGGCTTGGTAGAGTTTTATTGAAAGCCAGGGTTACAATACACCCAGGTTTATTTGAATGATCTTGTACTGGGCCACTGTGTTAACATCGGGTCATGATGTTATATTGTGTTTGAGATCTGTTCTTTATTATAGTTGCAGCCCGGCCCTTGATGGGTTAACTGAGCCCGAAGATCGATCTTGTACTGATTTTGGACTATTTGCTTGACACGTGAATGTTCTTAAAGCTTCAAGGCCATCAATCAACTGCCGATGGGAAGTAACGAAGCTGCTAGAGAGGGAACCCTTCTTGTTTATATCCATCATGAGTTCGTTCGGCTCTGGCCTTTGACCTACGATAGGCTTTTGGCTATCAATGAGCTTTCGTAACATTGCCTTACGGTAGTGGATTTAAATCTTGTCATGTGTTAATAAATGGCTTCTCTTGTAGACGCCATTGATATCAAGAATCAGTGTTCGTGACACAATTGAGTAGCGGCTGAAAAGAACTTGATCCCTCACATAATTCTAACAGAAATTCATAGGGAGCAGTGAGGCATGAAATCGAGCACATAGTAACAAAGATCCGATTTGCGTCAGACTAGAAACCTCTATTTCCGTAGGAACACTACTTGCTTCCCAGCGGTCGACAGCCTTTAAAGGTTGGAAACTTTGTAAAAGTTAGCCTCTACTTCGGCCTTCTCCAGTTTCATCATCGTCTCAACGGTCCAGTCTTCGTGTACATGCCCCGGAGGCGTGTTGGTCGAGTCAAACGTGGATCCGCTCCTCACGCTGCCGACCGCGTCCTGCAGCCGATCGTAGGCATACTGTTCAGCATCATGGCCATAGATCCACGCGGGCTGAGGCATCTTCATGATGGCAGGGTCCTTCTTGACTGCATCCCAGTCTGTTTTGTGCCACCGATGTCTAGTCTCCCAGCCCATTCGCTGCGTGAGGCTTGTCCGTTCGTACCTAGTAAAAAGACATCTTCCTCAGCATTTTACGGACTCTGGACACTTTACCTTGGGGCGAGAATGTGTCACAAACCTCAGCTTCTGAAAGACCTTGAAGGCCAAGGGGATCTCCCCCTTTCCGAGCACGTCCAGCACCGCGGCCAAAGTAGCAGCGTCTTCGATCGCCTGTACGCCGCCAGTGCCGGACGTGGGAAGATGGGGATGTGCTGCGTCTCCCATGATGACGACTCGACCTTTGCCAGATACCCACTTCTTCAGTGGATCCCTCCACAGCAACTTCCAGTCGACCAGTGCTTCCTCGGGGACGGCCGCAACAGCTGCCCGGCAAACAGGATCCCAGCCCTCGACGTTCTGAAGCATGTCATTGAGATTTCCTTTGGAGCTCCATGACTCGGAAACTCCATCTTGATCGTCCTAGATTCGATCAGCTCTGCCCAAGCTCAGCAAGGGATATATCACCTTGTGCGTCAAGAAAACCACGGCGCCTTGAGGCTTGGGCAGGACAACGAGGTTGATATGTGTGTCCCTCCCAACCCATGTAATCAGCTTCTCCTCCTTGGCCTCAGCCAGATGCTTGGTAACAGGATCAAGAGCCAGTCGCTCAAGTGGAAACCAGCATCGATACACAGCAAAACCGCTCGTTTGCGGCATCTGCTGAATTCCCGTCACATAGCGACGGCCGTAGCTGTGTATGCCATCGCAGGCGATGACAGCGTCCGCCCGTAGCTTTTCGCCATCGAGAATGACGCCAGCGGAGTCGTCATCCTCGAAATATTCGGAAATCCTCGCGTTCAGGCGAATTGGGATGCCGAGGTCAAGCGCATGTTCGTAGAAGCACTTCTGGGCGCCTCCTCTGTTTGAAAACAAGATGGGGAAGCCGTCAAAGCTCTCCGCGATCGGCGACTCGTAGACCAACTCACCGGCAGAATTGTAAATGCTCATGGACTTGGGGTGGCTAGAACAGGCCTCGACACCCTCCAATGCGTGCCCCCATTTGGCGATGATGCGCGTGGCGCTGGATCCTATCTGAATCACGTCTCCTAGAATATGACTGATAAGACTTGTGCTGGGAGACAAAAAGAGGTTTCTTCACCCAAGAGGCCCCGCTTACCTATGGCAGACAGTTGGGGTGCTGCTTCAATCACCTCCACACTGAATCCTTTCCTCTTGAGCTCGATCGCGGTACCCAGGCCAGCGAAGCCGGCACCGACAATAAGGAAGTGTCCCCTTTCAGAACGAGTCATCTTGTTAGAATGCTAAAATGGAAGAAGTTTTTGCGATGGGGAGTGGTTTGTTCAAATGCCGGCATGGTCAGTCAATGAAGAGGAACAGTCCAGAGTGTTGAAATAGTTGCTAGAGAGCTACATCAACCTGGGTGCTCTATGGATGACGGCTCTGCCAGCCAGAAGCAGATTACAAAGTGAGAAGTCAGCTGGGCCAAGCTCCTCCACCGCAGCCACGTTCGGCCCTGGGGTTGTCCAAGTGAAGGAAAACTCCGAATACTATCGGGCCATCTCTTTTACCCCCCGGCCCTCCGACCCGATTTGAGCGGGGAAACACAAGGGACGAGACCAAACCGTGTACACGCTGAGGATTCCGAGGTCGACAAGATCAATTGGCCCTTTAGCGACAAGTAAGCATTGATATACATGCCCAATGTGTGGCTCCCCAAATCCGTTCGGTTGATTTCTGAATCACAGCACTCCGGAAGCGGTTACCGCGCTCTATAACATTGCCGATGTCCTGGTCAATTCCATCTCAAAGAGCAGCAAGCCAAGACTTTTCACCCACCAATCCGTGAACCGTTCTACCCCATTGTCAAACGTCCTTGAATATTCCATTTCCAGAAGCCATGGCTGCAACACTGGAACCGTCAAATAGCATTGTTCTCTCTCCGACAAGCCTTTGCCATGTCGTACTCCGCACAGTCCCCGACAAGTTTCCTGCCATGGTTCACTTCTGGGCGTGCGCTCTTGGGGCGAGAATAACCTGGAAGAACGACTTCCTGTGCTTTCTTACCTACGATGACGAGCATCACCGCATAGCAATTCTCGGCCGTACAGGCACAGCACCACACCCCCCGGGCGAAGTGTCGAACCGCTCCGGTTTGGCTCATATCGCATTTGGATACGATTCCTTGAGCGATCTCCTCGTCGCCTACGGGCAGAGAAAAACGGCGGGAATCCTGCCGGTGTGGAGTGTCAATCACGGCCCGACCACGAGCATATACTACCAAGACCCCGACGGGAATGAGCTCGAAACACAAGTCGACAATTTTGAAACGCCAAGTGAGGCCACCGACTTTATGAACTCACCGCAGTGGGCCGAGAATCCGATAGGCGCAGACATCGACCCTGATGATATCTGGGACAGGCTGCGCAGCGGTGAGTCTGAGGCGTCGCTCAAGATGAGGCAGCCTGTTGGACGGAGGACCAAGCGCTGAGCTCCTCAGAAAATATGCTGGCACACCAGAATGAACGTGATGGACGCTGCCGGGGTGTTGACGTGGCGATCCTTAGGCAGCTTTGAGTTAGACAGCAGATAGGATAGCCAACATGGGCGTGCTTTCCTAGGCCCCTTTCCATGATGTACATGGGGGCATTCCACAGCACACAACAATGCAGAGCTATCTAAGTCTGACTCTTCTTTTCGCCGCCCCTGCTATCACTTTCTTTGCTGCTTCCGCTCTTGGAACACTGGGTTACAATGCCTATCCTGATGATGATGACTGGAGATTAAAGTCAATCCCGCGTTTCGTTAAGGTGATTGGGAATGGTGAACGCATGAGGTGAAGGGCGAAAAGCACCGATGTCTACATTGGAGGTTATATTCAACACAAAACAGCCAATTCTACTTTTGGTACCACGTAGACAGACACATTAGCAATCTTCTTTATCCTCTGTTCGTAGCACATCTTGCTTAGTACCAAAGGGCATTCCAATCAATAAGTTCTCTAGCAGCCTCACAGTACCCAGCCTTCATGGTGTCACATTCCGACGCCTTCCAAACTCTTTGTCCGATCTCGCCAAAGCCACTCTGCTTCGCTCCTTGCCCATGCGCGCTTTAGCAGCAAGCACAGAAGGGCAATCAGTTTCTCCCAGGTAGCAGTGGACAAGCTGCGGTGTCCTGCTCTCGACAACGGCGGGCTTCTGCAGGGCTTGCTCGAATTCGTCGAACTTGCGCACTTGGTAGTAGTTGGAGTCTTGAGAGCCGAAGAAATGCAGCATCAAGCTGTGGTCCCATTGAGCAATGTCATTGTGCTCGAGGTTGGGCCCGTGGATGATGCGCTCGGTTGTGTATCCGTTGTTGTCAAGCAGGATGATGGTGGGTGCAAAACCATGTCGAATGATAGTACTTATCTCCTAAAGCACGACTTGGGTTAGCAGAGACTCGCTCGTGTAGTAGCATAGGAGTTTTCAGCGCAGTAATACCTGGACACTCATTTGTAGGCCTCCGTCGCCGGCCAAGAAAACAACTCGGCCGCTTGCCCCTTGTTCTCGCCTCGCGCACAGAGCACCGAGGAGCGCCGGAACGGCATATCCTATTGCGCTGTAGAACAGCTGTGTGAGGAAGCCATTCCTAGGGCCTAGCTCCAGCTCGAGTGCTCCGTACTGGGCGGTGCCAACTTCGGCAACGATGAAGTCGTCCTCTCTCAGGTGACGGCTGAGAGTCTTCCACATCCTTGCGTGATCAAGGTCACCCTCGGCTGGCATAGCTGGGTGCTGGGAGTTTTTAGAAGGAGATATGTGGTGCTAAATTTATGGATTAGGAATCTGGTCGGTATACAGCCGGGGGGCAAGGGGTTAACCGACATGGGTTGAGCTGTGCTCGTTTCGGCCCAGTTTTGCGGCGATCATTTTGACCACAGGGACGAAGCTAATGTTGTATCTGACACCGCGCACAATAACGTAATCCGGGTGCAGAGACACCGTATCCTGAACACTCAGTTTCTGGGTCCAGAATCCAGTGTTGGAGTCTGATAGAAGCGGCCCAACATGTACTACCAAGTCGGAATTCTCGACCTTGTTCTTGACCGACTCGTCTGTTGTCAACTCTCCGTTATAGAGTCCACCATAGTAAGGTCTCGTTTCGTCGTAGAACGATTTGGCCAGGGGCGTGATAAATGTCTGCCCCGAGTCAGCAGAACCTCCAAGGGGAAAGCCAGAGCCAGGGCACCTACGGTTGCTGCACCCCAGCATTGAGAGATCTGGTCGACTTGGTCCAAGAGTCCATAACGCTGCGCCAGAACGTCGACCAAAAGCGCCCCGTTGCGTGATGATGACAGGGCTCGCATGGTTGCCTCGACGGCTTCCTGCTCTTCGGGTTCATGCGCAGTACCGTTGATGATCTCCCTGTTCAAGCAAACAGTTTCCAGTCTGCTGCCATCCACGAAGATGTCCGGAACATCCATCGGCACAAACAGGTAGACTGGATGTCTAGTCTGAACGCTCTGTTCCAGGACGAAGTCAACGTCCTTAGTAAACGTCGCATCATCGGTGAGAAAGGCGGACGCTCTCCGAACCGGCTTTGATATTGCTTGGAACGCCGTATGGTCCCAACCGTCGTCTCCTAGAGTGTGGTGAATTTTGATGCGAGCCTCCTGTGCCGCCCGCGAAGTTGTGCCGACGATGTGGACGACGGGCACATGCTCGCTGTAGGCTCCGGCTATCCCATTCAATGCGCTCAGCTCACCAACGCCGTAGGTCGTGATGACGACGCCAGGAGTTCCATCACCCTTGGTACGGGCATAGCCATCAGCTGCATAAGCGCCGTTCAGTTCGTTGCAGGTCCCAACCCATTTAAGACCTTCAGGGTAGAGATAGTCCAAAAGCTGAAGGTTGAAGTCCCCAGGGCAGCCGAAGATATGGCCAATGCCGAGCTGTTTGAGCCTCCGGAAGATATAAGTGCCCAGGGGTATTTCATGTGCGTGCGATGCTGATGAATCCTTCATCTTCTAGTTAGGTCGGAGAATAAAATGGAATATAGTATTGAAAAATGCGAGCGTGTTTCAAGTATGAGGAGTCTCAAATTTCACCAGAAATGTAGAGAAAAGGAAACCACTCTTCGCCAATATCTTATAGCAACAAAAATAGTCATCCTGACGGGCAGGAGTTACTCAACAGTCCTTGATCACTCCTCGGTCTTACCCAAGAGCCTATAATTGTAGACCCACCATAACCCCGACCATGCGGAAGGGGGTATTTTGCCGAGGCGTATCGAAAGCGTTCGGAGCTGTACAACCACGGCCAGAGTTTGTCCGGCCGTCGGTCACACTGGGAATCAGACGCAGAGAATCGTATCATCATGACTAAGATGCCGTGGGTAAGATAGTAGAATCATCACGTATCGAAATTGGGCTAATTTAAAGCTGGTTTCCGCCTTTTTCCCTCCTACTCACAACTCGATCTTTCTTCTCGCCTCCATCCTATCACCCTTGTGAACCGCAAGTCGCATGATTGATTATCTTGTGTCAGTGGTAAACAACACCATTGCTCTCCTGCGCTCTCGAACAACATCGACTTGCACGCACAAAAATTCCCCGGATTGGCATCGCCCTTAGGATGGAGGATCCTGAGAATGGCAGTACTCTAGGGCTGTGGACCTCAAGACCCCGGCAAATTGCGAAATCTTATCGACCCTTGACGTTTATGACAACTAAATGCCATTATTTAAAAGATCGCTTTATGAGGTCATAGTGCATGAAGGATGCGGCAGCCCATGTTCCTCCTACGTGAACATTCACTCGAGGTTAGTCGTCCGTTGTCCAACAATTTAAACACCACCTGTGATTCAAAAGCCATTTCCAAGATCTTGAAGCACGTTATCCCAGGGAATGAACGCGTCCCAATCTGTAGTGTCCCAAACATCCAAGCCGAATACTTCCTGTCATGATGGGTTAGCGCCGACGAAAACGGCAAGGGAAAGAGGAGAGACGGAGACAGCTAAAGGGCTGGGGGTCTTTTACATCTTGAGATCGTTCAACTATCGCCTCCAGGCCTTTTAGATTCTCTTCGAAATCAACAGCGGTCGTGCTGCAATGGTTTGCTTGTCTTGCAACCGCCACTCTCACAAGGTTTGCCAGATCTCTGGCGAATGGAAGTGATATGGTACCTGTTCTGTATTCCAGGAAGTTGAAGTGAGCTGCGGCTTCGTGCATCAGGGAGATGTCCGCGTCGACAGATGCTGAAGTGGGATACTCCAGTATGAAGATGAACAGATGGACCAGTGCAATCATCGGGTACACCAATACCGCCCTATAAATCCATCGGATTAGCACCATATCATGTGAAGCGAAGGGGTAAATTCCTCGAGTGGGTGGAGAGCCTGACCATTTAGGAGTATCTGGGCTTACTGTGATGTAGCGTAGTTGCGAGATGATCTTTCTGGATGCTTCTGCCACAATAGAAGCGCTTTTGAGAATGTGTGCCTGATGGCTAGGATTCGTTGTTGGCTTCTCCTGGTAGACCTTGCTCCAGGGAGCCATGATGATGGAATGAATCTGGATGAGCGTGGTGTAGTATGAATACTCTAGAAGGAGGCATTGCTCGGATGTGACTCCTTTAGGGAGGCCAGCGCCAGGCAGCATCCCAAACTGTATGAAGCGTGGCAAAGAATTGCGCCAATCCTGCAGCCTGCTGTCCAAGCGCTGGACCATGGCGAAGGTCTCTTCGGACATTGAACTGGAAGAGCGGATGACATTCAGGGTTCTGATGACCGAAGATAGTATCCGAGCATGCTTTATCATGCCGGTGGCTGTGGCGTGCTGGCCCCAGGTTTCGTTGGATACTTGAGAGGGCAGTGGGCAGGTAATTATATCGTCATCGATTTGCTGGAGCATTCTTGTGAGACAGCCTGGCTTCGTCACGGGTTCTGAGAGATGACGGTTGGTAACTTACTAACGATCTGCCTGAGCGACTAATGATCATCAGATGGTGGGTGTATATCGCCCACCAAAGATGACTGGTAGTTTGGTTGTCGCTTTCTCGCTTCATACAAGCCGACGATCCTCTGTGTAATCCTTTGGATTCGGCCAACCGTAGCGCGTCGGAACAGAGCATAAAGTCGAGTGAAGGGCAGGTAATCCCTTCAGCAAAGGCACTCTAGTTCGACGAACAAGCAGACCTTGGTCAGTACCGGCCATTTTCCGTACAGGGAGTGTTGGGGGAAGAGGGGATATCGGCCATACCATCAGGGCAAGAGCCTGGACTGCGTAAAGCCCTGTACGTGAGTACAGCAACTCGGTATGCATAGATAGCGCGTTGCAGAAGTACCGCATACTCTGCTGTGAGGCCTCTTGCAAGTCAGGCGACGATAGTTTGGAATCTAGGGTGCGGCATCCAACGGCGTACACGATGTTCCGGAGCGCGTACCAGGACGGATCATCCCTCCGCTCCGTGTTATCGCCCGCTAAGTCTGAAGCTAGCCGGGCCTCGAAAGTGGCTTGGTGTACCATCTTGAACCATATCTGGGACTGGCCGCTGAAGAATGCGTTGCAATACGCCCACGCAAGCTGCTTCGAGGGCTCCGGTTCCGTTTTGCTCAGCAGGCCGCGATCCAGCTTGAGGCGGCGTGATATGTCGGATGCAAACCTGGCAGAGATCCTCTGGAAATCTGCGCCGTTTATCTTTTCACATACCCAAGTGACGGCGGATTTTGAACAGATGGAGATCATGGCGCCCGGGCCTGTAGTTGGGTGGACAGAACAGTCAGAAGAAGCAGGAAAGAGTCTGCCTTCCAACGGCCTTAGACTTACCATGGTATTCGCAGCCCACCTTGGCTGGTCAGTACTGTCTCTTTTGCGGGATGTTGTGACTGGTGTGCACTTACTACTCCTTCCACGAGATCCTCAGCGCAGTCCGGTGTAGCGCTGGTATCGCAGTCAGTCAGTTTCGTCGAGTCTGGTGGATCAGGGTCACCCTGGGCAGTTGCATCGCTGATCGGCACTGCCGCGGGTTGAGGTTCTCTGGTTGCAACAGGTTGAGGCGTGCCTGGCTCCAGGAAGGTGATGAGAGACTCATAAGAGCTGCCTTCGGCGACGGGCTTGTGCCCTTCGGTGGATGAAGTAGCGGAGCTACGTATGGCAGTTGCAGGGCCGCTCGTCCGCTGGTTCGCTGTACTGTTGGAGCTGGTGCGCGCCGACTTCGATCGTGAGCTCGAGTCTGATGCCAAATCACTGTCGGGCTTGCTGGTGTTCTTGCTCGTCCGCGGGCCTCGGCGTTGCGCCTCAGGATAGTAGCAGTCGAGAGATCGATCCTAGCGGTCATCGCGTCAGGCAAGCCTCCCCACAAGTAAGTGCCCCCTTGAAAGGGCCACATGGAGCTCACAGCACAGTTTGGACATGGAATTCCGCCATTGCCTGTGTTTGTTCCCCGTCAGCCTCAGCTCTGCCAAAGCCCGAGTTGGCTGAGCAGAACTCACATCGAATTTTCCGAGTCCTACACCCCGCACATGCGGCTGCGCACTTCTGCTGTTCGCCAGCGCGTGTCTCCCCTGTATTGTCTCGTTTCAATGGGTTCATAGTTGCTCTTCATCCGAAACATTTGGCTCAACTTGGGAGTCAGCTAAGCCGTCGTGGCATTGATAGGGGTTTGTCTTCTCGGATCGCTCGGTAGCCAATCCAAGCGTGGCGCGGCTTCCCCGCGCGGGGTAGTTAGCAGCAAGACAGGGGCCCTTGCAAGCGATCTACATGGAGTGATCCACTCAGAGTCAGACCACGCATTGGATGGCGTTGGGTGAGTGGTGCCCCAGGGGAGCAGGCAGATCTGATGCATTAGTAAGTGACTGGCAATTTATCCGAACATGTTGGGTTAAGCGCCCCAGGTTTCAATCCAGGTTTGCTCGGGACCGTCCGATGCCAGGTGCGCTGGCTGGGGGCCTTTACCAAGTTCTCTCGACTTGGCTCTAAGTCAGCACTGAACCCAAGGAAACTGGCGGGTTACATTATCCTAGCTCTCTATTCGGTTGGACCCTAAACGTGCTCTCTCGCCTATCTTTTGGTGTCGGGTCTTCGTTCTCCTCCATCTCTTTGATACATGCCTGTCTCTTCTTGGATCAATTTTAGATCTTGCAGTATGAAAGTCCCATTCCAGCGTCTCGTGCGTTTTAGGGATCCCGATGGCAATATCCTGTATGGAGAGGCACCCCCGGGGAACAGCTTGTGCGGCCAACGGGTGCCGGTGTACGTCGGTAATCATCCCTGGGACTTGAGGGAATCTGGTCACCACCAAGTCATTACCGAGGTATGAGATTCTAGCCGTATCTGCATAACTTTGAACTTGATCTGAGAAAAGAAAACCTGGAATAGGTCCTTTGTCCCCTGGCCCAAACCCCCCTCGTCTATGGGGTTGGTCTGAATTACGAGAAGCACATTGTCGAGTGCGGCTACCCCAGGCCGGAATATCCAAGCAACTTCGTGAAGCCACCCGATGCGCTCAACGGGCCATACTCGGATGTTCATGTGAACAAGAACCACCCTGACATTGACTACGAAGGAGAATTGGTGTTTATCGTGGGCAGAGATGCGTGTGCCATCGAAACCGCACATGCAGAAGATTACATCCTAGGCTATACCGTGGGAAACGATGTGACCAGCCGCCACTGGCAGAGAGTCCCTGGGATTGGAAATAGCTTTGGGAAAAGTGCTGACGGGTTCGCACCTATCGGACCGGTCATAGTGACTACGGGTGTGGTCGAATCGGAAGGGCTGGAGCTGGTGACCATGGTCAACAGCGAGGAGCGGCAGAGATCACGCCTAGACGACCTGCGTTTCAAAGCGGGCGATATCCTGGCGCACCTCACCAAGTTCAACACCCTCCGCGCAGGGACCGTGGTCATGACCGGTACTCCCGCCGGGGTCGGGGCATTCATGAACCCGCCTTCGTGGCTACGGGATGGTGACGTTGTGGAAGTCTATATTTCTGACATTGGAACGATCAGAAACAGGTTCGTCTTTGGTTGAGGGCTCATTTGCATGTTTATGAATTTGCGACAGTTGAATACATATTGTTATTGTTCTTAATGACGTATTCGAGGAAGGTCGTGAGCCACATGATGAACAAAGATAGTAACACATAACAGCTAAACCCCAATGCCATCAATAATAAACCCCATACATTATCAGATAAAGACTATTATCTTTTGTCGACCATATATCATGCATATTGGCTACTACTCCATAAGGCAAAATCACAACACATCCTCTAAAAAAGTCTGACACTGTATCGGCTGCCCCTTCTTTACTTCTTGCTACTCTGAGGGCAAGTGGCTTCTATAATAATCAACAAGTGTGTTTAGAGTGCGTATCTGTTAGATTAATCCGTAGTGAGTTTTATGGCATCACAGACGCTGGATAATCTACCGTTCCTCTAACAGGTTAACTAACTCCATTGCCAATACCAACAAAGCTCCCTCAATACGCATCCGTACTTTGATTCTACTTCTGTAATCTCTACCCCATAGTGTTACTCCGCTTCAAATTCCCCCGAACAAGATCAGCAAGCGCCGGCCCGGGAAATTGGACTATAGCTTACCCGGTTACTACCGAGGCGTGCCACTCCCGACAGACTCCGGGCTCCGCACGGCGGTGGTGCAAGCCACAATCCAGCTGGTCAAACATCCTTAAGTAGACACTACGTTGGGACTCCAATCCTGAAAACTCCTTTTGTATCTTACTTCCAAGCCCCCTACTGCGAAATACTTCAGACATCATTTCTATGACCATGGCCCCTATTACATTGTCCCAGCCTCATGGCCGTGCACTGAACGGGGGAGATCTGCTTGCTCAGTGCCTCCGAACGCTGGGTGTTGAGGTCGCCTTTGGACTCGGTGGTGGACACTTGGATGCTTTCTTACTCGGCTGCGAGGAAAATAACATTCGACTTGTCGATACCCGGCATGAGACTGTTTCGGTCCAGGCCGCAGAAGGTTATTACCGGGTTTCTGGCAAGGTTGGGGTCAGTTTCGTGACTGCAAACAGCGGGTGCGACATCTCCAAGCCAAATCTTGCGTTCATGATAGAGTCCGTTCGTTGACGTGGTATCTCATCTAGCTTCTCTAACGCTCTTCCTGGGCTTGCATCGGCTTCCGCTGACAAGAACGGTATCTGTGTCCTCACGTCGTCGCAGCCGCAGAAGGATATCGACACCAATGGGCTGCAGGGGGCTCACGATCAGATCTTAGTTGCGAAACCGATCACCAAGTTTGCCCATCGTGTTTTTCGTAGCGAGGAGATTCCGCGCGTGGTCGCCCACGCTTTTCGGGCTGCTGCTGCCGGAGGGCCCGGTATGTCTTGTGACTTTTTCCACTAGAAGGCCGCCGAGGACTGATCATCCTTCTTTCGCCTAGGTCCGGTCCTGGTCGATGTCCCCCTGGACGTCATGGTGGCCCCGGTTAATCAAGAGGGCATCGCATGGGGTGCGCTCGCGGACCCTCCGACTTATCTGCCCTGTCCACACGAGGACGCAGTGGAGGCGTTAATCCAGCTATGGAGTAACGCCAAGCGGCCAGCGATAATCGCAGAGATTATCGGTCGCGGAAACAAGGTATGATCACAGCCCCGTCATTCAGCGATTAGTAGGTGTTACGAGAAGGCTTATAAGACAACTATATGCTAGTCGACTAGTCTAGAAAGGCTGGCAGAAAATTCATCTACCCCTGTCTTCCACAATCTCAACTATGGCCCAGCGATTCCCTACCAGCACCCACTCCAGGCAGGGCCATCGAACCAGCTTTCGAGGCTATCAGCGCAAGCTTCACGGCCTGACCTGATAATCCTTCTCGGGACCCGTCCTAGTACATTTACCGGCGGAAGAGGAGGTCTTGTTCTTCCAAAGGAAGGCTGCAAGATCGTTCAGATTGACGTTGACGGGCACGAAATTGGCAAACACCATCGAGTCGACTTGGGTCTGATATCAGACCCCGAGCAGGCAGTCCACGCCTTGAATCGCCAACTTGAAGGCAGTCAACTGATGGCCCATGAAGACTGGGTGAAGCTTGCGACGGGGCTCAAATCTCAGCCCTTGAAGAATTTCGAGGACGAACCTGCTTCATCGAGCACAGGTCTCAACCCATTCCATGCCGTCAGAGAGTTGTTCATCTCTGCGGAACCAGGCGCAATTGTCTGTTCCGATGGCGGTGAGAGCTCTTACTGGGGCATTGATCTTGCACCCTACAACGACGCACATCTTGTCATGTACGCATGTGGCATCACCGGGTTTCTGGGTAACGGCTGGGGCTATGCTTTGGGCGCCGCCATTGCAGAGCCTGATCGACAAGTCATTAACATCCAAGGAGATGGGTCCGCAGGTTTTCACATTGCGGAGCTTGACACGTACGCACGCTTCAAGCTGAATATTCTCACCGTCATTGTGAACAACAACCTGTGGGGGATGTCGTGGCACGCCCAAGATATCAACTACGCCGACAAAATCAAGAACAGGCCAATCTCGCTTCTCAGTGCGGGTACATCTTACCAGACAGTAGCCCGTGGATTTGAGAATGCTGCTGCCAAGGTGACTCGTATTGAGGATATTGGCCCGACTGTCAAAACGCTGTCGGCTTCGGATGGACCAGCTTTGATCGAACTCGTTGTTTCCGAAGCACCCGTACATCCGGGACTAACATCATTGGTTCGAGGAAATAGTGATCCAGCATTGCCTCCATACTTTGGCTAGGCGAAGATGTCAACGATAGCTAGGAGTATAACTAGTATTACAGAACGAATATATTAAATCCCATCCAAAGTACTGACTTTGTCATGTTTATACTATTCCCATATACGCTTAAGTTGCGGTAGTTTACAGGATTGTGGTTTATGCTGTCATGTATTGACAACCATCTCCTTTGCTATTGTGGCTAGTGGCCTCTTAGACTCGTTATTGCGGATAATAAGAAAATACTTTTATTGAGCTTTTTAGTTGCCCACTTGGAATAGACTCACCCTGGAGTCTTGGATTGGGAATGGAGGATGAGTACTGAGTACCTGGGTACGTATTGAATCCCACATTCATATTTAGCTCTTACATACCAAATCCCACATTCACGCCAAGTGCCCATCCCACATAGCTACCCCATATTACAGGGTTGTGTTGTCAGCAAGCCGAGGTCACAACCACCCGCCCCGAAGCAGGCTGCCACGGGCAAACCCCAAACCTCTCAGAGCTTGGCCGCCCTGTAAGTCCGGCAGATAAGTTCATGCGAGAGCAAGATCCCGGTGAGAAGGCTACAGACCATTGATCCGAACTGATCTGGTTAGCCTGTAACCTCAGCTGGTTCAGCCCCTTGTCCTCGTGAGCCCCGGGCGATTACAAATAACAGACCCATGGGTAGAACTGCGGCGTGGATACTTGATACCACTATCTCAAGCACCAAATACGTTGATTGTGTGTGTTCTTTGTCTTGTGGTCCCTCACGCACTACCCCTGTCTTTTTTCTAGTTGATCTATTCCACTTTCTTGTCGCAACTCTTCCGCACTTGCCCTCACACCAAAGATTTTTTGTCATCACTGAAAGGCTACGATGTCATCTAAAATGCTTGCCGGAAAGGTCATCGCCGTGACTGGTGCCGCACGGGGTATCGCTCGCGGTACCGCTATCTACCTCGCCGAACGGGGAGCTATATTATCTCTATCAGACATTCTTGAAAAAGAATTAGAGGAACTAGCTAACGAGATCACGTCGAGGTACCCCGACGTGAGATTACTTGCTTCGGTTATCGATATAGCAGATGGGGATAAGGTAGATGAATGGGTTAAGAAAACTGTCGCTGAATTTGGCTCTCTTCACGGCGCAGTTAATTTCGCAGGCATTTTCCACAGTAAGACTGAACATTTCGTCGATATCAAGGATGAGGATTGGCATAGGATTATGGCGGTTAACTTGACGGGAACTATGTTCTGTATGAGATCCGAAATCGCGGTGATGGAGAAGGGCGGGAGTATTGTGAACGCGTCGAGCACGGCAGGCCTGATGGCAGGCCCTGGTTTTGTCGCGTACGCAGCATCAAAGGCGGCAATCATCTCTCTAACCAGATCGGCCGCAAAAGAGATTGGTGCCCAACAGATCCGCGTCAACGCACTCGCCCCGTGAGTCATCAAACATATGTGCAAGGTCGCTACCGGGACAAGTCTGACAAACATGGACAGAGCTGGCATCGTCACCCCAATGTTTCATCAGCTATTCGATGACGGGATTGTTAATGAGATGGTGATCACGCCTAACGCTCTTAACCGAGACGGTCATGTGGAGGAGGTTGCACCGCTTATCGCTTTCCTTCTCGGAGACGAGTCGAGGTATATCACCGGGGAGATAATCAAAGTTGATGGAGGAATGCTATGTTAAGTAGGGTTCAACATTGCTTAGCCCGTGTAGACGACGGAATCCCTTTGCTTAGGGGCTTAGCATGCCTCTATGGAATAAACCGCTTTTATACTTATTTACCTATTCTAGACTTAATTATATAATAGTAATAATTAAATAATGCCATAGGAAGAAAGTACTAACTTTTTAATATTTAATTAATATATAAATAACTAAGTAGGTATATATTATAATTAATTTATATAAAGTAATAAAAATAAATACTTATTATATAATACTAAATAAAAAACTATAATTTTAAAAAGCTATATAATACTCCTTTATATATTTATATAAGGTAGTATTATTAAAGTTATATTTAGGCCTTAAAGGTTATAATTAATAGTTTATATAGGGTTAGGGTTAGAATTAGTCCTAGGGTATTAATAAAAGTTTTCCTTACTTTAGAAAAATAGCTTTAAATAATTTTAAAAAAATAAGCTTTATAATATATAAGACCTAACCTATACTATTAAATAGCCCTATTTATATTATAACTAGGGGTTAGCTAACCTATGGTTTTTTTTATATAGGTATTTAATATAGCGCTATTACCTTACTTATAAAGCCATAGTTTTTTTATTATTAACTTATAATTTCTAAAAAAAAAAGCTTTTTAATAATTATATAAATATAAAAATTAATAAAAAAATAAAAAATTATATAATTAATTAATCCTATTAATAATTTAATAATAAAATTTAATAAAATTTATAAAAAATCTTATATAAAAAGAAATATAAGTTATAAAAGCATAGAATAAGATTTATAAAAAACCAAGGGATAAGATTAATTAAGTAAAATAAATAATAATATTTATAAAAAAAGTATATATTAAAAAATTATATTTAAATAATATTATATAATAAGTTTTAATTAATTTAAAGTTATATTATATTATTATGCCTATTATATATTATAACTAAGTGTTAGCTAACTTATAGTTTTTTTATATAGGTATTTAATATAGCGCTATTACCTTACCTATAAAGCTATAGCTTTTTTTATTATTAACTTATACTTTTTAAAAAATAAGCTTTTTATAATTATATAAATATAAAAATTAATAAAGAAATAAAAGACTATATAATTAATTAATCCTAGCTAATATAATACTAAGAATATATTTTATTCTTAAGATATTAACTTAATTCTAAGATTTAAGTTATTTTAAAGTAATTTATTTTTATTTAATCTAAGCCTTTTTTATCTTAGCTTATTAAGATTAATTATTAATTATATTTTACTTAAGGTAAAAGTTACTTAACTTAAGGTTAAGATTTATTTAATATTTAAGAGCTATTATTTTATTTTAATTCTTAAGTTTTTCTAAGATCTTTTTTTATTTATTTAAAATAAAGTATTTTATTTATATCTTAATTCTTTTATTTTTTTATTTATAAAATATATTAAGTTATTATTCTTAATAATTATATCTAATAATATGTAAAATAATTTCCTTATAATACTATATTAATAAAGATTAAGCTAATAATAAAATAAATATAATTATTTAATTATATTTAAAATATAAAAGGCCTTAATTAATTATTTTATTTTATTTTACTTAGGCTTTTAATCTCTAAGCTTAAAAAAATAAAAAAAATAGCTTTAAATATATATTTAATATTACTTATTATTAAATCTATTTTAGCCTTAGAAAACTTTATTAATATTTATACTTAATATATTAATAATTTAATTAAAAGGGCTAAAATAAAATATTACCTAAGGCTATAACTTAAATAATTCTATTATTATTCTTTTCTTAGTTATAATATTTTAAGGTATTTTATTAATAGCTTTTTTAATTAGTAGTCTATATAAAGTTAGGGTTAGTCTTAGTCCTAGGGTCTTAGTAAAAACTTTCTTTCCTTTAGAAAAAAAGCTTTAAATAATTCTAAAAAGATTAGCTTTATAATATATAAGACCTAACCTATAACGTACATGATAAGTGAGTAGATCAAACAAGTGAGTGGATCAAAAATCCTCACCCTTCTCAATTAAAAATTCTATAAAAACACAACAAATCATCTAATCAATTAAAACTAGTCGCTATACTCTTCTTCAGACATTGCAACAACTATCTGACATGTTCTTGCATTATGCCCCGTCTTGCCGCATCCTCCACAGCGCCTTTCCCTCGGTCGCCCCGACCCTCCTTGACCACCACGTCTCAACGATTCCCCCTCTACCTGCCCATCCACATTCATCTGATCAATTGCTTCCCTTGCTTCCCCCACTGTCATCACTCCTCCTTTCTGTAGTCGCCTCCGTTTTGCCCTCCGCCGCCGGCTTAGTGTCTCATTTGCCTGCTAAAGATCGCGGACCTCGGCCCTCAACAAGGCAAGCTCATACATAGTTGCCTTTGTTCCCTTAGAAAGCGACTTTAATGCTTCCAGTATTAACTCTGGCGAGCTACTATGATGCCTTCTGATTCGTCTATCGAGGTATTCAAATTGAGATTCGGCCTCAAGGACCGTCTTTGGCGTCTTTAAAACCCAAGTAGTAGAGAGCCCGGCCTCCTCCTTAGCCGGCGTCGGCGTCCATAGCTACACATCAAGCTTCGAAATCACACTTTCCGGATCAAGAGGAATAATGCCAGCCCCTCTAAAAGCTGCCTTGATGTTTTTCTCTGTCATAGTGGCCTGAAATGCTGCATAAAATGCTAGAAAGAACTCGGTCTTAGAAACGTAGGTTATAGAGCATCGCATTAGATGCTCGATTTCTCGACCATATGCCCTCTTGAGCAGGCTAAAGTACCCGACGTCGAGGGGCTGAAGCAGATGAGACGAATGAGGCGGCATAAAGAGCGTAATAATCTTGTTTGCCTGGCAATATTTCTCAAACTCGAGAGAGTGGTGACTTTCGTGGCCGTCGAGGATCAAAAGACGATAGCGGCCAACCGATCGCGTCTTAGTATACCGGTCAAAGTGCTTCAGCCACTCCAGACCCAGCTCATTATCGGTCCAGCCATTGGGAGACGTTGCAATGGCCCAATCGTCCGGGAGGTTGCTGTCTCGGTACCAGTTAGCGAGGTGATACTGGCCCGCACTTATGATGAACGGCGGGATCGCCCAGCCTTCCGCATTGATGGCCTGGATGATAGTAATCCATTCCCGGCTTCCAGGCTACACTAATTTCGGTCTTGCACGCCTTTCTGTGCCTGTGACGACCATTCCGTTTGCAATGACGCCCATCATAAAGCCAACCTCATCGAAGTTGTAGATATCGGCCAAGTCGATACCGTATTTGGCGATTATGTTCTCCACGAGCTTGAACCACTTTCGAATCTCGGTTGGATCTTCGCATTTGGCCCTCTGGTAGTCGTATCTACGAAAAAAGCGCGTCTTAAGCTCATCGTGTCGCTTGACGAAGTTGGAAGCCCAGCGCTTGCCGACGGGTGGTGCGTTCCGGTCGGCGAGCAGTCGGTTGGCCATTTCTTCCACACCACGCAGTCGTGGGGGAAACCCTCGCGAGTCCAGGTCTAGGATGAACTGAACTATGATCTATTCCTCTAGATCGGATAATTTGCGTGATTTGGGGGTGGTATCGCGCTGAGACTGAATGCCATTGTGTCGGCGCCATAGTGTACCATAACCAACTTTATAGGTCTTTGCAGCGCGTTTGAGACCTAGATTGGGGTTATTTTGATAGGCATGAAGTGCCAGAAGGATTCTTGCCTCATAATTTGTCTGTGACATGCTTGGTGGTGAAGAATCAATTGATCAAGTAGAGAGGGTGGAGGATGAGGGATTTTTGATCCACTCACTTGTTTGATCCACTCACTTATCATGTACGTTATTATTAAATAGCCCTATTACCTATGAAAAACATCGGCTAAGCTACTAATATTTTCTTTATATAGGGGAAATTCTTTATACTAATAGACTATAGGGCAGCTAATATTTCTTTTTTTAACTAGCTAATATTTTTTAAAAAAAGAAAGTTGCTATAAGACTAAGGCTCTATAAAAAAGATATATATAACTTTAAGCTATAAGGATCTTAAAAATAAAATCCTTTTCCTTATATTTTATTTCCTTATTTTCTTTTAGAATTATTTAAAGTATTATAGCCTAAACTATCCCCTATTATATATAAAAATACTCCCAATAAATTCCCTTTATAACCTACCTATTATAAGAGACCTTATTTCTCTAAGTATAAGGCCCTTACTTAGACCTTATTTTTCTAAGTGCGAGGCCCTTACTTAGAACTTACTTCTCTAAATATAAGGCCCCTTATATATATATAATATTTATTATATCTTAGATAAATACTTAGCCTTTAAGCTATTAATAGACTTTAATTACCTTTAAGACCTTCTTAACTTATTACTAAGATATAATTACCTTATTATATAATAATATTAAGACTCCCTATTAAGAATAAACTAAATATATTTACTTTATTCCCTTAGAAAATACTAGATATTATATATTAATAGCTTCTTATTTAATATATTTTTATATTATATTATATAATATTTTTATTACTAAATAATATATCTTTTAATAAATAAAATATCTTATTTATTAGATCTTTTATTAAAAGATTATTATTTTATAATAAAATATTATTAAGTATTATTAAACTTATAGCTAAAATCTAATAACTTAGAGGTATAATTAATTAACTTTAGGGCTAAATATAAAATTAACCTATAGTATTTACTTAATAATATTATAATAAAGATCTAAGAGAAATTATTAGATTTATAATATTTAAATTATTTATAAGATAAATCTATAATATTATACCTTTTTTTATTAAAATAAAGGGATATTTTAGGCTTTTTCCTTAATATATTAATATTAATATAAAAAAAATATTTTTTATTATATCTCTTTTTTATAAAATTACTAAAATATAATTTAAATTTATTTAAAAAGATTTTTTAGAAAATAAAAACATATCTAATTAAAATTAAGAAATTATTTATATTTTTAATAATTAAAATAATTTTAAAGTAATTATTAA